TGTGTGTCTGTCTGTGTGTGTCTGTCTTTGTGTGTGTGTCTGTGTGTGTCTGTCTTTGTGTGTGTGTCTGTGTGTGTCTGTGTTTGGGTGTGTGTGTGTCTGTGTGTGTGTGTGTGTGTGACCTGTTCTCTGTCTCCAGATCGTTCTTCCTGCTGTTAGCGTCCTCCAGTAAACTCTGCAGCAGAGCGATCTGTTCGTTATCTGATCCCTCCTGAGCCAGTTTCAGCATCTTATTCTCATGCTGCAGGCGAATCAGACGCTCCCTGAGAGACATGAAAAGACAACACTAGTCAGGACAAGAACAGGAGCTCACTAGACCATGATAACCTCAGCAGTCAGACATCTAACAAAGCTCAAAGCTCTTTCTGGATCCCTGAACTGATTTACAACGCTGCTGTTTGTTGGGCAGCGTGACCAGAGTTACAAAGCTATAAAACAGAACACAGATCCGGTCTGAGCTGCTGGAGCCTTTCATGGACGTCACAGAGATCTGAGTGTGTGTGTGTGTGTGTGTGTTTAGTGTTCATGCGGCTTCATGTTACTGTATTTCACCTACCTAAACTCTGGTGTGACGATTTCTGCAGACAGCAAGTCAGACGGCTCGTTACTGCTGAGCGGCACTAAACCTAATGAAACACTTCTGATCAGCACATATCAACCCATCATATACATAAACAAACATAAAGAATTAAAAACAAACATAGGCTGTAAGAATGAGACACTGTATGGAGTTTGAAGCAGTCACCTGACGTCAGCTGAGACTCTTGAGCTTTAACACACCTCAGCTCCTCAATAGTCTCCTTCAGAGAGTCTCGCTCTGTCCTCAAGCGCTACACACACACACACACACACACACATACAGGTTCATGTCATCAGCTTCATCCTTATAACACTCTTTGTACGGTTTTCTCTGCATGCAGCTCAGATGTAAATACTTTGGCAATACGAGTCTACAATTATACTCTGCTAGTAAAGAACATTCAAAACTTGACAAATCGAAGCCTAGATCTGTTTTATTTAGAAGCTCTTCTGTTCAGTCATTTACTGATAAACAGGACTGTTTTGTGTGAGAGTGTGTGTGTGTGCGCTTGTGTGTGTGTGCGCGAGCTTGTGTGTGCGCTTGTGCAAGTGTGTGTGTGCACATGTGCGAGTGTGTGTGTGTGCACGCTTGTGTGAGTGTGTGTATGTGTGAGCGCTAGTGCGAGTGTGTATGTGTGCGCGCTTGTGCGAGTGTATGTGTGTGCGCGCTTGTGCGAGTGTGTGCATCTGTTTTATTTAGAAGCTCTTCTGTTCAGTCATTCACTGATAAACAGGACTGTTTTGTGTGAGAGTGTGTGTGTAGTGTGAGCGCTTATGTGAGTGTGTGCGCGCTTGTGCGAGTGTGTGTATGCGAGCTTGTGTGTGCGCTTGTGCAAGTGTGTGTGTGCACGTGCGAGTGTGTGTGTGTGCACGCTTGTGTGAGTGTGTGTATGTGTGAGCGCTAGTGCGAGTGTGTATGTGTGCGCGCTTGTGCGAGTGTATGTGTGTGCGCGCTTGTGCGAGTGTGTGCATGTGTGAGCGCTTGTGCGAGTGTGTGCATGTCTGTTTTATTTAGAAGCTCTTCTGTTCAGTCATTTACTGATAAACAGGACTGTTTTGTGTGAGAGTGTGTGTGTGTGCGCTTGTGTGTGTGTGCGCGAGCTTGTGTGTGCGCTTGTGCAAGTGTGTGTGTGCACATGTGCGAGTGTGTGTGTGTGCACGCTTGTGTGAGTGTGTGTATGTGTGAGCGCTAGTGCAAGTGTGTATGTGTGCGCAGGTGCGAGTGTGTGTGTGCGCGTTTGTGCGAGTGTATGTGTGCGCGCGCTTGTGCGAGTGTGAGCGCTTGTGCGAGTGTGTGTGCGCACTTGTGTGTGAGCGCTTATGCGAGTGTGTGTATGTGTGAGCGCTTGTGCGAGTGTGTGCATGTGTGAGGGCTTGTGCGAGTGTGTGCATGTGTGAGCGCTTGTGCGAGTGTGTGTTTGAGCGCTTGTGCGAGTGTGTGTATGCGTGTGCACGCTTGTGCAAGTGTTTGTGTGTTTGAGCGCTTGTGCGAGTGTGTGTCTGTGTGTGCACGCTTGTGCGAGTGTTTGTGTGTATGTGCACGCTTATGCGAGTTTGAGCGCTTGTGCGTGCGCGTTTGTGCGAGTGTGTGCACGCTTGTGCGAGTGTGTGCATGTGTGAGCGCTTGTGCGAGTGTGTGTATGTCTGAGCGCTTGTGCGAGTGTGTGCACGCTTGTGCGAGTGTGTGTGTGCGCACGCTTGTGCGAGTGTTTGTGTGTGTGCACACTTGCGTGAGTGTGTGTGCACACTTGTGCGAGTTTGAGCGCTTGTGCGAGTGTGTGTGCGCACTTGTGTGTGTGCACGCTTGTGCGAGTGTGTGTATGTGTGAGCGCTTGTGCGAGTGTGTGTGCGCTTGTGCGAGTGAGTGTATGTGTGAGCGCTTGTGCGAGTGTGTATGTTTGTGTGTGAGCGCTTGTGCGAGTGTATGTGTGAGCGCTTGTGCGAGTGTCTGTATGTGTGAGCGCTTGTGCGAGTGTGTATGTTTGTGTGTGAGCGCTTGTGCGAGTGTATGTGTGAGCGCTTGTGCGAGTGTCTGTATGTGTGAGCGCTTGTGCGAGTGTGTATGTTTGTGTGTGAGCGCTTGTGCGAGTGTGTGTGTTTGTGTGTGAGTGCTTGTGCGAGTGAGTGTATGTGTGAGCGCTTGTGCGAGTGTGTATGTTTGTGTGTGAGCGCTTGTGCGAGTGTATGTGTGAGCGCTTGTGCGAGTGTCTGTATGTGTGAGCGCTTGTGCGAGTGTGTATGTTTGTGTGTGAGCGCTTGTGCGAGTGTATGTGTGAGCGCTTGTGCGAGTGTCTGTATGTGTGAGCGCTTGTGCGAGTGTGTATGTTTGTGTGTGAGCGCTTGTGTGAGTGTTTGTGTTTGAGCGCTTGTGCGAGTGTGTGTATGTGTGTGCGCGCTTGTGCAAGTGTTTGTGTGTGTTTGAGGGCTTGTGCGAGTGTTTGTGTGTGTTTGAGGGCTTGTGCGAGTGTGTGTATGTTTGAGCACTTGTGCGAGTGTGTGTATGTGTTTGAGCGCTTGTGCTAGTGTGTGTGCACGCTTGTGCGAGTGTGTGCACACTTGTGTGAGCGCTAGTGCAAGTGTATGTGTGAGTGCTTGTGCGTGTATGGTTGTGTGTGTGCACTTGTGCGAGTGTGTGTATGTTTGTGTGTGTGCACTTGTGCGAGTGTGTGTGTGTTTGTGCACTTGTGCGAGTGCGTGTATGTTTGTGGAGTGTGTGTGTGTGCACGCTTGTGTGAGTGTGTGTGTGCATGCTTGTGCGAGTGTTTGAGCGCTTGTGCGAGTGTGTGTGCACGCTTGTGCGAGTGTGTGTGTTTGAGCGTTTGTGCGAGTGTGTGTATGTGTTTGAGCGAGTGTATGTGTGAGTGCTTGTGCGAATGTTTGTGTGTGTGCACTTGTGCGAGTGTGTGTATGTGCGTGCACGCTAGTGCAAGTGTATGTGTGAGTGCTTGTGCACTTGTGCGAGTGGGTGTATGTGTGTGTGTGTTTGTGCACTTGTGCGAGTATGTTTGTGTGTGTGCACTTGTGCGAGAGTGTGTATGTGTGTGTGTTTGTTTTGTCATTGAGGCTCTACACTGCATGCATGGATTAAAAGTTTGTGTGTGTGTGCACTTGTGCGAGTGTGTGTATGTGTGTGTGTTTGGGCACTTGTGCGAGTGTGTGTATGTTTGTGTGTGCACTTGTGCGAGTGCGTGTATGTGTGTGTGTTTGTGCACTTGTGCGAGTGCGTGTATGTTTGTGTGTGTGTGTTTGTGCGAGTGTGTGTATGTGTGTGTTTGTGCACTTGTGCGAGTGTGTGTATGTTTGTGTGTGTGCACTTGTGCGAGTGTGTGTGTGTGCACGCTTGTGTGAGTGTGTGTGTGCATGCTTGTGCGAGTTTTGGCCCGTCTCCACTCCT